GTCATCGTAATAAATACATAATGGCCATATTAGGCTTCAGCTTCTCTAATGAAGGGAAAAAAATACTTACAGCGTATCCCTGCGCCGAACTTGATTTTTTTTATTTAGCCATTGCCTTTTTTCTTTGCTTGCATTTGGGCGGATTTGCGCTCACTTCCTGTTGCGGGATAGACAGCTGAGCCAAATGCATTAGTCGGAATTGTAGGCCGTAGGGCCTACCGACGAACTGTTGGCAGGGAGCCAGAAGTGGGTCTGCTATGGCCGAAGGCGGTCGGACAGACAAACAGCTTGTAGCCAAATGTTCGTGTTCAGCCATAAAAAGTGCGCGTGAGTGCGTGTGCGGACTATAGTGTCCACAAAATGCAAGTACCCATGTTTGTCTTTAATAACTCTCACATTTTTTATGTGCCCTACGTGTGTGTTCATATGAGTGGGTGTGTACGAGTGGGTGTCTATTTGCGAAGCGCTGTTTGTTATTGGACATCATCGTTGCTATTGCGACCGTAGCGTCAGGTGCTGTGGATATTAATTAGAAAAGAAAACGTGCCAAGCTGGTCAACACAAGGGGATGGCCACTACAGATCGTGCCTCTCCAGCAGCTACATACTTAGAGCTTATGGGGGGCTTTATAGACCACTTTTCTCCAGCAACGGCCTTGCCTGGGCGCTTGCTTGAATTCTCTGCTAATTACTTGCCTGCACATTATTTGCTATTTTGTGAGAAAGTGTTTAATTTTTGATTATCTAGCAGCTCTCAAAGAACAATTTGCCAAATTTTAATTGTGTCTAAGTTTAATTGTTGTATTAGAGAAGCATTTATTTAAAAAGAATTAAAACCTCTGCCTTTAATCAAGTTTATAAACGTTTTATTTGTGCTTCTTTTCTCTATTCTGAGCATAATTATCAATCTCAATCTCTACAAATATAGTTAAAACTTTATCAAAATAAACACCATTATCAGTTAGTTGTATTAAAAGCTTCCTTCAACTCCGATATAATTAATTATAAGAAAAATGGAAAAAAGAGCAGTTGGCCCATGAGGGGATCGAACCCGCGACCTTCGCGTTATTAGCACGACGCTCTAACCAACTGAGCTAATGGGCCTCGATGACGATTTAGGTTTGTTTACACACAGCGTTTACACAAACGATTAGGACGAGTACTAAAAAGTGCAAACTAATTCGAAAAAATAATATAAATACAACTATTTGTATATACTTAGTATTTCCCTTTTAGTTCTTTCAAAAACAAATTGCACATAAATAATTTATTTATAAATAATACAAACAAAAAATCTTGTGCGCCCCCGGGTGGACTCGAACCACCAACCTTTCGGTCGCTGCACCATTCTTACATCATTCTCGCTTAACAGCCGAACGCGCTAACCGATTGCGCCACGGAGGCAGTTGCGATCGGCCAGCCAAATGGATGTCATATACCTGGACAGATATTATTCACATAGTAGGAAGAAGAGATAAGAACCTTTCTTCGGATAATAATAGCATGCATAGAAGGAGCTTTAAAATCTGATTTATGATTACTGAATCAATCATTTTCTTTCCTTATATATATATACTATTCTTATATCATCTGGCTATATTAAGTCTTTATATATCAAAATGACTAGCTTTCATAAGCTTTAGTAAGATATCTCTAATTATCAAAGAGAACTATAGCATGAACTTAATTGTACTTTAAACTTCAACTGAAGAACTGAAATTGTATTCTTTATTTAAACTTAAATGGTGAATAAAAAAGGACATATGTAGGTATTTAAATTACCTGAATTTCCAAAGTTTTCGATAACTGTTTTAAAGTTTTATTGCAGTTTTCGGATAACATTGTTTCGAATGCATTTTAATTAACTTTATCACCTTTTTAGCGGCTAAGCTTAGTATTTATATCGGCGTAGAGTTCGCCATGTTCCCCGAAGTGTTATTTGGCTCATAGTCGATACTTGCATAACTTGCTTAAAGTTGGTGCGTAAACTTTGGCCAACAACAAAAGTTGGTAAGTCGGGAAGAAGAAAAACTTGCACAACCTAAATTAGTTATTGTCTATGAGGGCTCGACGGTGCTGTGTTGGTAAAATAATAGCTGTAGCTGCCCACATTGGGAAAAACGGTGCACCTTAAGCAAAGTTTTTGATCAACTCGAAGCCCCGCTCTTCGCCCAACAACACAGACAATTACACTAAAAGCTGCAAACTCCCGTGGCTTGTGGGAAAGAAAAGAAAATTCCTGCTCGACAACTTTGTGACATTGACCGCACATTGGGTATTCGCCCCCCTGTTCCAGCATTGTGGCAATGCAACAATTTTTAAATTAACTTTAAATTACGGGAGTACAACGAACCGTGTCTAAAATATGCGAACGACTCACAGGCTCGTTGCGAGCGGGCTGCAGAGCTGTGGTGAGAGTAGTTTGTTGTTTTGTCAGGACTCGACTCCATTATGTTGCAGCAGCTGACGCTCACAAAGACAACGAGGACGAGGACGAGGACGAGAACGAGAACGACACCAACGTTGACGACACGCCCGAAAACAACCAAAAATAATGAATAGCAAAAGGCTAACGGACGCGTGTGAGCTAAACCCCAAACCCACCCAAATCCAATACCCATACCCATACCCCCACCCATCTCCTTCCATCCAACTGCTCTCAGTCGGTAGAAAACAGCAGTGACCAGGCAGGCGTGGCTCATGCTGGCAAACTCATTGTGGTCCCACATGAACAACAGACGAGCATATGCGTGCCGGGAACAACAACAACAACAACTAGCACACACTAAAAAGCAGCATAAAGCCGTGTATGGAATGAGATCTGGGCCTGGTTGGCAGGCATGAACAGTCTTCAATAGAAGCTCACAGCTCAGCAATCCAATTGCATGATTCGGGCAAAAGACAGCCGCAGAGACGAGCCAACCAACCATACATAGAAGCTTATGAACAGCCGACAACACCACTGGACTGGCAGGACATTGCATATTTCAACTTAATCTGCAGCATATCGAGTTAAAAAGTGCAAACATTTCCACATTTTGCCACCATGTTGCCACAAGACAAGAATGAATTAGAAATGTTGCCAGTGGGACGAGGAATCACCCGACAATTCAATTTCATAAACTTGCAAATGGTCTGAAGAATTTCAGTTTTTAAATTTCCCAAACCACATTTTGAAAGTGGAGCTGCGAAACAAAGTTGTACAAACAGACAAATGTTGATACAACTTGTTGATACTATCTGCTTGGGAAATACTAAGCCGTTACTAAAACTTGTATTGAATTAAAATGTGCAAAAAATGCAAATCTTAACAATATTCCAAAGGACTAGATGCATACTCGCATGTATTAAAAACGAGGAATAAGTAGATTATACGAACTAAGGCCATATTGATGCCATTATGATGGATACTGTTATATTTTTGAACATATTCCTCAATTTGATTCTTTTTGAGGCGACTGTTTGTGAGGTTTTTCTTAAAATAAGAAAAAAGAAGGTTTTATCTGTGAGCGCCGCCTTTATCTCTTAAATGTTTTTCAAGTTTTAGCTTAGTTAAGAATATTTAAATTCAAGCCCAGTAAGCACAAATTGTTCATCATTATTATTAGAAACATTAAAAGTCAATTGAGTTCACAAAAAATATGAATAAAATATTATCTCGTTGAAGAATCGCCATAGAGAGAAGAATAGCCATAGAGAGAAGAATCGAACATATCTTCTTTTAAGCTTTAGAAGCAAACTCCTTTATAATTTGTCTCATCACATCGACACCATCGGGCTGCATCCAATCGAGCCCAAATGGGAATGGGAATCGATTCACATCCTCGGACTCGACTTAGCCCTCAACAGTGTGGTGGTCGTTGGTCCTGTAGGCATTTATTTTCACACAACAATCGCAGTCCGTGCTTGCAAGTCTTCAATCAAAACGTGTCAGCAAAGATTTAATACGCAACTATGTTCCAGAAACAAAAGTAGTACTGTGGGGGCGTGGCTGTTGGGGGCGCTACAAGCTGCTGTTGGATTTCAGTTTGATAAATGATGTGTCGAAAATAAATGATTATGCCCGGCGCTGCCGTTGCCGCAGCCACACAGTTTTATTTCTGCCACTTTTGTTTTTAACATACTTTTCGTGCTGTTTTTTTATATAAGTATGTATATATTGTTTTTCCACCAACTGACAAAGAGCAAGTTGTATAAGTTTTTATTCGCATGCCTCATTTAGCATATTGATTTCTGTTTTTTGTTATTTGTTTTGCTGTTGTTGTTGCTGTTGTAAAGCTGTAATCACGTCCATTTGTTTCAATTTATAATGCTGTGCTTGTTGCTGGCGCGGCTTATGCAAAACTTTTCAACGATTCTGCCTCTTAACGTGGCCGAAATACACAGCCATTGTCAGTCTGAGGTCGACAGAATGTAATGACATTTCGAAATTATGGCAATTGACGCGAAACAACCAAAAATTCAATGGCAAAAGTTTAACAATTGTGGCAAATGGCGAAGAGGGGATGGGGGAAGAGATGTCGCTTGAGTGGCCACTTGCTGTGCCTTTTGATAAAGCAATTTACATCGGTTTTACATTAAATATGGAAGTGGCATACATATGCGAAGCTCAAGTGTGGAGCAATGCAGCAATAAAGATAAACTGAAAATTCCACTTATCTTTAACATTTCATTCAGGACTGTACAAAAAAACGAACATCGTCTAAAAAATGCGTTTGAACACGTTTGGCCACGTTGGCCTCGGATATGGTAACAAAATGAAGGTTAAGCAGGACTCAGTATAAAACTATGAGATGTCTGACTAGTCAGCTTAAAGAGTCGATTTACAAACATTCCAAACCAGCCAAGCTTATCTAAGGAAAAGAAGCCAACCAATTTTGAATAGTACTTTGGCCATACTTCATTTCCAACTAGCATCCACCCATTCTTCTATTATTTCTGCTCTATACGGCTAATCTCTTTAATAAACCATCAAAATAAAATCGAATTATGCAACAAAGGTGTTAGTTAAATATACATATAATTTAGAACTCTTTGTCAACATAACGCGTTAAAAAAAGATGCGAGAATCAACAGCAGGGAGGGAAAAACCAGCTAGTCCGCCGGCTGTTTGCTAGCATCGCCCACTTCATCTTGACTCGCAGGTTTGTCGCTGCACATGCTTGAGCCTTCGGTGGCTACCAGTGAGGCTGGCGAGCCTGTGCGTGGACGCAACACAACGCTATTATCGCTGCTCTCACTGCTCGAGTCCCCCACATTCAAATCGTTCTGTAGCGCCTCAGCGGGCGGTGGTGGCGCAGCAACAGGCGCCGGCGGAGCAGGTGTGCCTATGCAAATGCGCTTCGAGGGTGGAGGCGCCACATAACCGAGACGTGCACTGCTTAGGGGTGTACCCGAGGCCACTGTATCGAAGGACATCAATTCCCCAAAGTAAACGTGCTGTATGACAGGAAACTTGGAGAGAATCTGCAAGGCAGGGCAGTTTAAGCAAGGAGTTAGTTTCATTATAGAAACAACGCACCTCTTTTTGGTACATTTTAACCAGACCCGCATTGATCTTAACCCATGAGGGCACAGCTGTTATGCTCCAAAGCTGATTCGAGTGCTCACCGAAGTGGCCGGTCTTCACTTTACAAATGTAATCGATGCAGCCGATGAACATGAAATGATTTTTATAGTCATTGATGACTTGTTCATCCACAAACTTGGCCGGATCGAAGGGACTCTTCACTAAAAGGATAACATTATGTAACCACAACATTTAACGGGTTATTTCATACCCACCCGCTAACTGTGCACTGCCCCAGATAAAGGGCACGAACTGATAGTCGTCCAGCGACCACACGCCCTGGCTTCCAGCAGGTTCCATATTGTAAGCACGTTGCAACTGACGCACAAATTCCAAATAGCGATTGAACAAACGCAACGCGGCACTTACAATGTCCTGCTCCAACAGTACCTCTGCCTTGAAGAGTGCACACATGAAGAACAGAAAGGACAGCTCATGTCCAGTGCCGTAATCAATTCTCGTCGCATTGCCAAAAGCCTCCATCAGATATTGCTGCAGTTCGTTCAGGTATTTGTGCTTCTGCGTGGGCAGCGCTTGGGCCAGCTTCTGTGGGATATCATCGCGCATCTGACGCGCCCAGTCCCGATACGCCTTGTTGCCAAATCTCTGAGGCTGCTCCAGCGGCGGATTCCGCTCCACCAGCTGTTCCAGAACATCGAATATCTGCAGCAGTTTGCGCAGCACCTCAGACTCGTGCATCTCATCGGTAGTCTTAATGCCCTGAATGGCTGTGCTGGTGCCGTTGATAAAACCAATGAGGTCATAGTAGGCACGGGAGCGCTGCCAAAGCGCTAAATCGCCAATGTTGTGTACTCGTTTGTCAATTGCCGGCGTTTTGCCTGCTAAGGTGTAAATATGTATTTTGTCAATAATTCGAGGCGCATGGTGTTTGTGGGCGTGGCCATGCACATACCTGCTGCAACGGCTGCATTGGCATCTGCCATGCTTGTCCTTATGTATAACAAATTGCTGTTTATTTACTTTGTTTTGCCCAATTTTGCAACGCAGCTCCGAAATAGGAAAATGGTATTGATGCAATAATGCAGGGCTGCCAACTTTCGCGGACAAGTAATGGCTGGATAAACAAAATCAAGCCAAATCAAAATAGCGTTAAGGCTGGAAATAACTGACAGGTACACGGTAACAATGGCAAATCAATTACCTGAAATGCATGTGACATTAAATATAATAAAAGTATGTACATACTGCTATTTTAATTATTATTTCACTTGTTTTCCACCAACTTATCTTTCTATTCTAAACCGTTTTAAATTTATTGCGCACTTATTTGTCAAACCAGCTGATGCAGGCTGTCATCGATATAAGAGCGAGTTGGCAGCTGCTAATGTGCTATCGACTCAGCGATTGCTGCAGAATTCACATCATTATCGCCGCACGTCAACAAGAAATCTTGCCGGCTTGTTCTCTATTTATTCGCATTTATTGTTTATTTATTAAGCCAGCAACATGATTGAAACAATGTATAGCCTGCCTTTTCACATACTCGTGCCACCAAACATAAAAGTGCGCCGTTTGTCCATACCAATGCCTTCGGCAATGGGCGTTTTTTCTGTTGTGTTGCTCTCATACTTTCTTGTGACGGGAGGTAAATATGCACACATACACATAAATACATACAAATATACATTTGCAGTGGATTGCAAGTGAATGTTTTCAAATATGAATTCTACATTGCTAATCTAATAGAGTTATGGACAGCGTAATAAGTGCAGATGTATATTATTCTATCCAATGTTCCTTGAAAGAAATGCAATGCACTATGAAATAAACTGTGACCCACTATATATGTACATATGTATAAAATATCTCACATGTTAATAACAATGCTGTTACTCTTCAGGTATTATCTATGATGTCATAGTGGAACCACCAAGCGTGGGCGCCACCGTTGACGAACACGGACATTCCCGACCCGTAGCTTTTATGCCATACCGTGTTAATGGCCAATACATTATGGAGGGATTGGCCAGCAGCTTCCTCTTCACTATTGGCAGCCTGGGCTTCATCATTATGGATCAAACGCACGCCCCAGGCAAGACGAATCTCAATCGGCTGCTGCTTACAGCCATGGGCTTCATATTTATTATAGTTTCCTTCTTCACCACATGGCTGTTTATGCGCATGAAGCTGCCTAGCTACCTACAGCCTTAAAGCATATAACACCGATTTGATAATAATAGGAATCATGCAAAGCACTCTCAATGTTTTAGTATTGCAATATAATATTATAAATGAAAAAGCCGTAAGTGTTTTATTAATGTATCTATATTTACAAGCAACTTTATCGTCCAGTTTATATCGGTATTTTTGTCTCTATTTTAATTTCATTCTTAACCAATATCTTGCACTTGATGGGGATATAATATATAAATTATTATCTTGCCAAACATCTAAAGGTGCAAAAGTGTGTAGCGCATTTTCTCTTCCACCGTGCCTGCACTGAAATTTGGTTAATGCAGGTTTTTCGCTCAAAACAAACACTTTTGGGCGTCCCATTTGAAAATAGTTTTTCCTCAGTACATGACGCGCAGCCAAAACGATCACAACAGACGCGCTTCGATCATTGCTTGTGAATTTTCATAGCATATATAAATATAAAAAGCTATTTTCGGGTCCCAGAAATATTAGCAGTACATATAGAAAAGTGAAATTGTGTGAAAACTTTAAGAATACCAAGGAAATAAACCCAGTTAACGATAGAAAGTTACTGTTTTTGCAAAGTGCTTTCGTGTTGATGTGATGTAACAATAGTTTGCCAAGAAATAGCGTCGAATAGATCTAAAAGTGCCAAGTGGTTGGGGCTGCTAGGAGTCCCAAAAGGCAAATGCGTCGTAGTTTGCCAATTTAGAGGCCGGCGCCTATATTGTTTACAAAACAAATAAAAATATTCTTATGGCGTGCTTCGGAGTTGACTGCTAGCTTAAAACTCACTAATATATATACATATCTTTAGTATTTATTATAATTAACGGTACAACTGCTTGAAAGTTATAAGCCATGTCGAAAAAGTGTTCGGTACGCAGTCTAAGCGACAGCTCCTTGGCCGAGTTGGCCAATCTTTTGGTCTCCACCATCAGCTATTCGCAATATGCGCCCGATGTGCGTTTGGATATTAATATAGTGATGGTGGAGTTGAACGAATATCTCACCCAGGCGGGTGCCACTTCGAACATCTATCAGGATCTGTTGCGCGTGATACTCAGCTCGGACTATTTGGATGCCAATATGCGGTTTACGTGCCTGCAAATGTTGCTCAATTGTGGCGTCACTTTCCTGGTTACTGAGGTCTTTCCCTTCAGCTATTACGAGAAAATATTGCAAGTGATCGCGGCGCAGGGTGCGGGGCTGAGGGTGCTCAATCTAAAGGGGATTTGGGTGAAGGAAGAGCATATGCATTATATGTATGCGATTGTGCAACGCTGCAAGCAACTCACCAAGCTATATGTGCCATATATAGCCAATGATCGGCTGCTGGAGGAAATAGCCAAGAGCTGTACACGTCTGCAAATATTGGACATATCGGGTGAGACAGATATTACCGAAATCGGCATCGATCTGCTGAGCAAGGGTCTGTGTGCTCAGAGTCTTACGGTTGTGGATGTTGGAATGCCGGGCGAAGAGAATATTTGCCATTCGGATATAGCTTTAATTCTCGAGCATTGTCCGCAGGTGGAGACCCTCTCCACCTTCTCATTTGTGGGTGCAGCTCTGAAATTTATTTACGATAACATCGATGATCATTTCAAGTGTCGCTTGAAGTATGTGCACGACACGGCCACGGATGAGCCGACGCTTCAGATCATCATGCAGACTTGCCCGCGTTTGGAGACCCTATATTTGGACTCTCCGAAGACGGGATGCCTGCGTGCTCTCCACACCCGCACGCTTCGCAAGCTAAAGATCTATAAGTTCATTGTGACCGAACTTTTGCCACTGCTGGAGCGACCCATTGGACGCAATTTGCGGCATTTGACGATGATCAAGGGCAACGGGAACTTGGAGTTGAACAGATTGGCTCGGCTATGCCCATCGCTTATCGACTTGGATTGCTACATGATCGACAGTTTATCCTACGGGCCTGGTCAGGCGCGCTTCCAGCAGCTCGAGGGTCTGGAGATACTCAGCTGTTCTGTGATGACAAGCTCCTTAAAAGCTTTTCTGTGCAGTTCCACAGATTTGAAGCGTCTGGCTGTGGATACTGTGGATTTTACGGATGAGGATATAGTCAGGTAAAAACTTAATTCAAATGTGTGATGAAGAGGAATTCCAATAACACACCTTTTTTTAAGAAGCATTTCTTGGAAACAATTCCTCCTGTCAACTTTATATTAAGTTTTTCAAATTCTGGTTGCTTTTTTATAAGACATTTATAAACCTTTTACTACAGATCCTATAAATACTTCAGCCTATTCTTATGCTACATTTATTTCTTTCAAACAGCATTTTTATGCAACACGACTTCAAAGTCTTGGAGGACATTTGGTTTACTTTGGCGCCTGAACTAACCGTTCAAGCTGTAGAGGTGCGACAATATCAATTTAATCTATTTTGGGAGTTCATAACTCACTGAGAAAATATATATTTGACAGGTTCTTATGGACAGCTGCCCTGAATTGCAATCCATTGGCCAACTGACGGGCTGGTCGCTCACTCCCGATGATTTGGCGTTGGTGCGGGGTCTTCTAAAAAGCGGCAACTCAAGTCTTGTACTGACACCAAATGGTTTTATTGCTTGAACAATTTTTCAGGTGTATTTTAATGAATGTCATGCAGCGCATTAAAGTACACACCCAAATAGTTAAACTTTAATTAAGCTTTTAATTTAATATTAAATCAAAATATAATTGACAAAAGTTTATTTTTGTTTTCAGCGTCTGCAATGAAATCGGCGTCGCCGTTCCCGACAGCTCTTCAAATGCGCACGTTCGAGGAGACACTTTTATAAAGCAACAGCAAATAAGTGTGTGTTATGTTTTGTAATTCGCTTGTGATATTAATGCAATAAAATTTCGTTATAATTTAAAATTCAACTCATGCGTGGTATATATTTGGTATTTTTAGTACTGCCAACTTATTGACTTGTTTGCTCATGCCGCTGCGTTGGCAGCTTACCTGAATCGTTACAGCTGCAAGGGTTGTCCTTAAGCGGAAATTGTGCAATAAATAGGACCTTTACATACAATTACATAATTGAAACGATTAGAAAAACGTGAAGAAACCTAGCAATTTATGAAAAGACTATAATTTATTGTGCAGTTAGCTTGACTTCAGTGCAAATTTTTACTGTTGCAGAAGTGTCGTCTCGATTAGGCAACCCTGCGTGCTATTGTACACTTTTCGTGCGTTTTAGGGCAGACAGTTGTCTCTATTCTCTACTCATTTACACGGTTACCATGGAAAAAATCGTATATATATGAATGTTTAAATTTTCGCAAACCGTGCCCCATTCAACATTCTCGAACGTCGCGCTGTGTTTTGAATATGAAAAAGCCTAAAATCAAAAGAAAAAAACTAAAGTAGACGACGTCAGCACGCGCTCCATAGATAGACAATACTAAGATCCCAACTGCGATTGTAAACTAAAAGAAAAAAAATTGTGTATAAAGGTGTACAGTGTGCGGTGTTATTTAATGTGCAAAAAGTAGCAACAACAATAGCAGCAACATCTAAATATTGGGCGGCAACTTGCCGTTGTCATGCATTTTGTCACACAACAACGACCACAGCAGCAACAACAACAGAAGCAGAATAAGAAACAAAAGTCAGCGGCATCGTCATCATCGAACTCGTCATTATCGTCGGTTGCATCTGCCAGCGCAGCTGGCACATCCTCTGCAACACGATTTGTGGCTCTGTGCAAGTCCTCCAGTCAAGGAGCCCTGCCCAGATCCTTCAGCTATTTTGGTCTGCGGTCTGAAAAGCAACAGCGACACAAACGCACTGCCAGCCTGAATTCGGCGCCCATGTAAGTTGTGCAGATACCTTATATACAAAAACTTGCATATATGTGCCTAATATATATACATATATACATATACATATATCTATATCTATTTAAATCATATTACTCCTTTGGTGTAGGTTTTTCTTGCTGGTTTGCATGTTAAAGACAAGTTATTGCTCATATTGCTATTGCATGTTGTTGCCTCAAACTCTCAACATTTTCATGTTTGTATGTAGTTATGTTCGTTTTTTTAGGCTCTTTAATATACCTATCTACCCCCAATATAGCGAAACGTCCGTGCGACGGTCCTTGCCTGCCACTCTAGTCTGTAAAAAGGCTCTGCCGCAATACCTTTCATTTGCATCTAAGTCTACCCTGCGATTGCGCAACATCTCAGCCACTAAATAAAATGTAATTTGCATAATTTAAAGTAAGAAAACGCACTCCTACGTGCGCCGAAGCTGAAATTCTCTTGCAAATATCTTTGGTGTGAATGTTACCTTCAATAGCTATAGATACAGCATAATGTAGTTATAAATAAGTACTTTGGAAATGGTCTTTAAAATGCATAATTTAATTTCATTTCAAAACATTTTTATTATGAAAGAAAGAAAAATGAACAAAAGCTTAAGATGATTTTTCCTTGCCAGTTGGCTGGCTATGCATAATTTACTTAATAATCAAGTTTTCTTCTTCTTAATAATATGGCTGGAGATGGTTGTTGTTAATAAAAACTAATAATTAGATAAGGTGGCAGTTTTAAGACACCTCAAAGCTGATGATAACATTTTATAAAACTTTGTTGCAATATATATTATAAAATTTCCTTAAAGAATAACACTCTTAGGGGTGCTAAGGTTTGTAGTACTTCTTATATTTCTTTGGTGTTACAACATAAATAATAGAATAGAAAGATAGGATAGAAAGAAAGGATAGCAAGTCGGATAGAGTTGTTCATTGTATAGGGTAGAGAGACAGGATCTTAAAGTAGGATGGAAAGAATAGAATAGAAAGCTGGATAAACAACTCAGCTATGAATCATAAAACTCTTTACAGAATGATAAAATTCTTTATAGAATGTTAATTTTATCAACCGATCGGCTTAGGAATGTGTCGCTTTGTTGATTAATTGTATATTTCTTGTGAAAAAAGAACGTTAAAAACACGCTTTATAGGGGGAACTGTTTGAATAAAAACTATAAGTTATAGTCGCTAGATTTGAACATAAATAAGCTTAAGGAATTAGGAAGCATAAAAAAACGTACTTGGCAGTTACTAACAAGTTTTCATGCGGTTCGATTAGGTTGGGAATTTTTCACAATTGTGATGTAGAAAGCATGAAATTCTTTTCTCAACAGTAATTGGCTGTTGTGGCCCAATTTAGCCCAGAAAGGAATATACAGTTAAAGAGTATATAAGTTACAGAAATATTGGTAGTCAAGCTCCATGTCATAGAGCTTCGATTTCGATACTCAAACCTGAAAAAGCTGTTGGAAACATTGGTTCTTTAGTGGCCTAAAAAAAACTGCTCATTTAAAAAGTATAGAAGGTATAGAAATAGTTGGTTATAGAGCACTATTTCCAACAATAGCTTATACTGAATAAACCCCACATATTGATAACAAAACAGCTCTTAGTGATATATAATTTTTGGAAACATTTTCATATTCGCCATAGTTCGTTTACATAATATTTGGAATTACATGTTTCCAAAGGTGCGTTTCTGGGGACCATCAGACTTTCGTTCCGGCAGGGTATGGCGAACATAAAAAGTAACTTCAGCGAACACGCCAAGCCAGTCGTCAGAGAGCCATTTATTTCCTTTGCCGTCAAAGAATCGCTGAAGCGTATGCCATGCAACGTCATCGCCGAGCCACAGCCAAGAGGCCCCCTCAAAGTCACTTGTTTGTTGTTGTTGTTTCTGGTTTTTGTTATTCTTATTGTTTTTGTACATGTATTTGCCTTTTTGCGTGTGCTCTCACTCTAGCACCAACAACTGCGACTACAACTACGACCATACTTTTACATATATACATACTTGTATGTACGACTGCGAGTCTACAACGGCGGGGCCTCCAGACTAGCGCTGACGCTGACGCTTTTGCTATTTCAGCTGTGAGTGCAAATTCAAACGTTGCGTCGGTCGCGTGTGCTGGCCATCGAGGGCGGCAGCAAAAGCAGCAAAAGCAGCAACAGAGCAGCGTTACAAAAAGGAAAATTAATTAAATAATTAACAAGAAAAGGAACGGTGTGGTTTGGTGTGGTGTACGGCATGTGCAAAAATTTACTGAACTTTTGCCAAATGTGCTAAAAATATAAATATTTGCCGTGTTTACGTTTCGTCATCACTATCGACATTGGCAACAACAAAAGAATAAAACAGAGATATACATATGTACAAATAACAACAAAGAGATATGTATATAGAATAAAAGTGCTGTTTTGACATTTATTTGCGCGTGTGCTTTTCGCTTTCGTTGCCACCAATGATGACATACTTTTCGCATCCACAATGGCCAACATATGCCAAGGAATGGCCCAACACCAAGACGCTATAAAAGCAATAAAATGGCAATACAACAATAGCAACAAAAGCAAAAGACAAAGGCAACACACAACACTGACATCGAAATGTAATATATTTTAGTTATTATTGATTTTTCGCCACCTTAACTGTTTAGTTAGTTAGTTAGTTAGTTTAGTTTAGTTTGTTTGTTGTTCGTTGATTCCCGTTCGTTGTTTTCCCAGTAGCTTATGCCCCAAAACTTTGCGAAGTTCCACCAAAGCTTATAAATATTTCGGCACATGCGTCAGTATGTGGAAATAATGTTCTGATTCTGATTCTGCTTCCTACATACCTGCTCTTCGCTGTCATTTTTTATTCAGCTATCAATTGAATTGATTGCATGTAGTTAACCTTTTCTTATACACTACTAATTGTTGGGTGTAATTGCGTTTAAAAATGCTGGCATGTTGCACTCAGTTTATACTATATACTATACTTACTATATAGTACATGTGTTTACTCGTATCTGTCATTTTTCCTCTTGGAATATCAATCAGAATGTCGCTCATAGATCAAGGGGTGAGTGTCTTCTCAATTTCAATTTCCAATCTAGCTGATGATTTGCAATCCCTGTTACCTATTTAACATATAGCATATAGGTCATAACATCGTATGATTACAATGAGTATGAAGGCTGCTACCATGAGTTAGATTTTATATTTGTTAATGATGTTGTTGTCTTCTATACTTGTGAAATTCAATTTTAGAACCAATCATGAAAAGCAAATATATTGTTATAAGTAAGCGTAAACTTTGATATTAAACTGAATATTGATTGATGTCTAAACTAAGTTTATTGCCTAGAATAAGTCATGAACCCAAAATATAAATATTATATGATTAACTTTCACAATAAAGGGCGCATCGGTTTTTTTTTGGATTGTAAACAAGCTGTACAATAAACAATACAGTATATAAACAAGCTACACTATCTATATATACTTTATATATTTTGGATCTTTCAAGAACGAAACAATTTTCCCATGAACACACCTTTTCGATTGTAAACAAAATATATAATATGAATATGTTTATAAAGAACTTATGCCCTGACTTGTGAAGCCAATAATCAAATAGCCATAGCGAAATGTTTGATGTTGCTTTCAATATTTCAAGTATATATTTGTAAATATTACCTATGGAATCTTTTTTAACTCTTCGCCTTAATACCGATGATTGCATATTCTCTTAAATGGACTGTCGAATAAATGCATATTTTTATTCGAAAACGGCAAACATTTGATAAATGTCATGTATTTCTGGTAACAGGTTTACAATAATTACGTATTTAATTTCGAAGGCTTATCACGTAAGTGACAAGTAATTGGTGTTTTCTATTCGGTGTGAAAATGAATAGAAGTGGATGTGAGTTCATTCATAATCCAGCATCTACGGGATATTGTTTTAATCTCTAAACCAGGTCTGGTCTAGACAGAAGCTTTCGGATGTTTTGTAGACTCGAACGAGATTTCTTCAATTGTAGCCAGATTAAGGACCCTGCAATGTTTTCAATCTATTAACCAAGTCTGGTCTAGGCAGAAGCTTTCGGATGTTTTGTGGGCTCGTGTAGAAGAATATATTTTCAACTGCAGCCAGTTTAAGGTCCCAGCAATGTTCACCCAGCTTTCGGTTCATTTGTAGACTTGAATAGAACGAGATCTCTTTAATTCTAGCCACATTAAGGTCACAGAGTTTGAGGACTATTGCTTTTGTCATCATGCTGCTGGATTTTTTAATGAGTTGCCGAATAGCTTGTTCCCCATTCTTCTGTAACATGATCGATCCGCCTTTTAAGAACTTTAGCCCACATTTCCGGCATATTCATTAGAAATTCGCGCTGGCAAGTGTTCTCCGTTACTTGATCGTATTCTCTTCGCATTGATTTTATCATTTACAAATATTGTCTCACTTTTTTGCAGGTGTTTGATTCAGTTTCCGCACATTGTTTGTTTAGAACGTATTACCCAAGCTCGAATTTTTGTTCACTCTTTTGTTTTTGTTTCCCCATGCGACCGGCCCGATAAAAAGTGATAAAAATTTAATTGAATTTTGTCTCGTTGAGACTTGTTAGTAAGTATTATCATGTGCCAAATTCCAGTCCAGCAATTTTCACGTACAGACCATAATAATCCGCCGGTTCTCTCTCGGTTGAGTTGTTTCCGTCGTTGTCTACACGCGCCAATTATAGTTGAAAATGTTGTGCGGATTATCGTTTAGCGCCCGAAACATTTGTGTATACACGATTTTTTCTTTAATAAGCAGTTCTGTATATTTCACATACTGCGAAGCTGTGGAAGTTTTTTTTTTCTTTCATAAACTCGGCGCTCTGATTGTTACTCTCAGCTGCAGATAAGGCCGCTACTTTACTTTCTTATTGCGATTTTAGTTAAAGTGTCTTTTGTTAGCATTGTTGTACTCAAAATAAGAGGGAGCGATAAGGTTCCTGAGTGAATATACTTGTACATATATGTACACCTACTTATACCCGCATTACGACTTATATACTCCTACATATGTGTGTGTGTGTGAGGTTAGTGTAAGTAACAACTCAAGATTAACTGACAATCAGCTGTCGGGCGTACATGGCTATAGCTTCTGTTGCAAATGAACACGACTGCACTTTATCTGTTAAAACGAATAGACTTTAATCTTTACAGTTGGGGCTTTTAATTGTCAGTGGGAACAATAATAATTAAATGTTATTAGCTGTCGGAAATTGTCGAATTGCTTTTAAAAAGGGATCGTCTCTAATAGTAGACAAGATTATACCTTATTTGTAGATACATTTTACAAAATTGAGTATCATATATTGAATTTCTTTTCTTTGACGTGTATTTGTAAAGCTCTGATGAAAGACAACAACTTGAAAAGCAGTAGGATTGAAAAGCAAATTTTTGAAAAGTTTGAAGCAGTTCAAAAAACCTTTTACCATGTAGGGCTCAAGACTTTTCCGCACGTTTTATGTCAAGTATTTGCCCGCCTGTTTGTCTAAAACACACACAAAGTTTGTGCAGAGGAAGAATGATAAGAATGCCCAAAAAAATTGGCATCGATATGAACTTGCATGATTCATGGTCCCCGGCCTGCCTCAACCAGCCCATTTGATTATGAAAAGGTAAAGCCATCAACTTCAAATACAGGAGTTTGTCCGTCTAGTTGTCTAAACACAGCCATAGTTTGAAAGGTGTGCCCTTGTTGATGATTCAGCTCGCACATGAGCTGACCATTACGAAGTGATAAGAAAAATAATGAACAAAATTATTTGATATCGATATAAACTCGCATGAATCATCGTAATACTGATGTATGTTGCCAGGCCTGCCTCAACCCCTCCATCTATTAAGGGAGGCAAAGCCGGGCGCTCTTCTCCCTTTTGACGTTTTTGTCGCAGCTGCGAGTGCGATTACTGTTTAGTGCATTATCTTCCAAAAAAGCAGTACTTATAAGCGATGGCTTAAACTATAGCTTAGCTGATTCTAATTTTGATATACTTACTTTGATACTTACCTGAAGCCATCTTTTGAGACTAGCTGCCATATCTGTAAAAAAGACAATATAAATAATGTTTGACTAAAATCTTGATTAGGCCCATTGTAAAAGCGATCATCTTAATACATTTCTCAACACTGTTAAGTGGGGATATCTTTAAAAGAAACATTGTGTATAAACGATGGCTGAAAGTAAGTTTTGGCATTTTTTAAAATGATATTCCATATTTAAATATTTTTCAAGATATCAGCTCAAGAACTCTTATTTAGAATCGATGTCGAAAATTAAATTTTTAACACATTCTATAAGTGATATTCGAGCACATGATGTGAAGTGAAGACTTAAAAAAAAAAAAAATATTACGATATCCAACATTGCTATTTACAGAGTTTTTGAATGAACAGATGGCCTCGATTCGCTTCTAAACATTAAAAGTTTATTGAACACGTCGACCATACCGTTATGCCAATCGGCCAACACAGCCAATGGCTTTGAACGGATTTTGTTAGCTGCAAATGTTAGAAATATTATATGGCACATGGCAAAATCTTTTTTCCAATTGATCTTTAGCGCTATTTTTCGGCACAGTTGCATTTTGTGAAACATCTGTTCGACTTTCTGCTGCCACACATACGCTCCCTTCATACAACTATACATCCCAATATTGTTATTAATATTTAGTGTGGGCTTAGCGAAGCTTTTTTACAACCACCAGCCGCACTCAAGCAGCAACAGTTTGCCGCACAAATATCTTATCGCTGTTATCGGCTTTCGTCGGCAGTCATACGTCCCAATACATTGGAAGTACGCTCGCTCCATAATAATAATGTGACATATTAATATTGATTAGACGCGGTACTAGCAAGTCGTCAATTGTGTTTGAGACGCATTCACGCCACAATTTCCAAACGGCAGGCACACAGGCAGCCAATTGTTTGCAACAACAGAAACAGCAGCAACAAGAACGACAACAACAACAGCAACAATAATAATAATAGTATTAGTAACAGCATCAACGAAATGAGAAAATTGCACATAAAGAAATATCGAGTTTCTTGGTAAGGTAATAAATAAGTGAAGTGATAAGAAGGAAATAATTGAAATAAATTAATAAATATAAATAAATATTGCTAGATAGAAAACTATTGGAGTGCAAATATTAGAAGAATATGCGGGAAAATATAAATTTAATTGCTCGTTGAAAATTTCAGAAAACTAGAAATAAAAACAAGTTTGAAGTGTTCATATGAAACGATGGAGATAACTACAAATACTTATAAATTGATAGTATAAAAATAATAATATAAATTAAATAATAAATTATTCATTATATAAGGAATAGAAAGAAAAAACTCTACCCATTGATTGACTATTGCTACCACTAATGCATTTGTTTATCAAATTTTTTATAGTTATACCAATAATATTTGGTGGACTTGGAAACCATTAATATTAGTAGCTCTTGATATAAATTGTTCACAAGTAGTTAGTTGGATGGTGCCTCTTTAAAAGAGTCATAGAGCCTTTGGGCATGTTTTGGACCCACAAAAAGTTTTAAAGAAACCGGACTCTGTATACCTGAAGGGTTTTAATTGGAAAAGATTAATTGAAGATTGCCTTGTGGATCAGCAGTTTATTGCAATGAAAATTAAATGTAATTTATTTGCTGAAATTAGGGAACCATAAAAGCAATAAATGATAACAAAATTGTAACAATAAATATTAAACAATGAGTTCGTATTGTTTCTTCCAAAGCAAACATAATTGTTTAAGTTCCGTAGTTTGGTTTTTGCTCGATTTCTTTTTATTTGTTTCATGTACATTTTTTGTAGGACTAAAGATATTGATATTACTACTACCAATACTACTGCAACAACAACAACAACACCAACAGATCCAGCCGCAACAGCAACATTAGTAAGCGCCTCTACTGCTGCCGCTTCAGCCGCTTCAGTTGTTGCCGCTGCTGCCCCAAATGCCATGATTTGTGATTCGCAACAAGAGCAGCAACAACAAATACTACTACTGCAACAACAACAACAACAGCAGAAGCAGCAGCAGCAGCAGCAACAACAACAGCAATCACTACAGGTGCAGCAACAACAACAGCAGCAGCAACAGCATGAATATTTACAGGAAGAAAAGGCACAAAGTAGTAATGGCGACAGGTAGGTAACAAAAAAAAAAAAAAAAAGAAAAGAAGAAGAACCATCCCCCCTTCACCTCTATCCCACAACCAACCCCCCATCCATCCACTAAAGCAAAACTGATGGTAAAACTCAGCACCAAATGAAATTTGTTAACTCTCTGCTGGTAAATAAAAACGCACACTTTTGTTAATTGCATTTTGGGTTTCGAAGCCATTCAAAATTTGCATGCATATAGTTATACATACATACATACATATATAAATATATATATTTATTTATTTATAAATATAAATATAGACTGTATATAGTTAGATAGATAGTGATTGGGAATACATACATATGTGTGCGAAATGTAAAGCTCATTGGTTTGCACTCTACAATTGCAGGCGCGACTCTCTAACTGAAGAGCCAACAACATCTACAACAGCAACTACAGCAGCAACAACAACAGCAACAAGCAAACTCTTGACCATACAGGAGGTCAGCAATCTCGAGCAGAGTGTCGCCGCCAATTTAAAGTCTTCTTCAATTGTCCCACAACAAGAAAACCCGAACGCTTCCGTCGCACTCCCAGAACTATCAGCAGCAACAACAGGCACCGGCTATGGTCCAACCAGCAGCCAGAACACATCACACATAATCTCCACGGGCCAGCACTTGAAAACACATCGCCATGAGTCCGCATTCAATAGCGGAGGCAGCAGCATAGGGGCCGCAACTTCCACATCGACGTGCCAAGTAACGCCCAGCATTAATATTGTCGCCAGCGACGAGCAGCCGATCGGACAGCCCCTGCAGTCCCACAGCGTCGACTCAAACGATTTTGGCGCAGCCTCGACATCGGCCCCGACGGCCGCCAGCTCCAGCACCGATAGTCCCAGCAGTCGTAAAAGTTCCACCGGCTCCAAAGGCAAGCCGACCAAGTTGGTTTCTGCTCTAGGCAGCTCGAAAATATCCCTCAATTGGCAGTTGTCCAGTTCGAGCAGTGGACGCGATGAGGTGAGTTCGTTATGTAATGCTTCGGCGGGATAAGTTAATTCTAAGAACACCGCCACTATCTTCAACCATATTTACTGATTTAAATTATGATAAATGTGTTAGTTAAATTGGTAGCTTGATTAAAGCTTTAAAGTTTTAAAGTTCCTTCTGATTGATTTACCATACCACTAAATGTTTATCTCGAAAAGTTGGCCCATTGTTTGTTTAAGTTGCGATCATGCAGCTGCAAAACTTGTCATTGCTAGCCAAAGGTATAAATATATACATATGTGTGTGTATGTCTGTATAGGCCATAGTAATTACCACTTCCCACCAAAAAAAAGAAACAGGTGTCAAATAGCAAACCAAATATTTATTGTATTGTATTCTGATAAGTCGGTCTGTTGATAAAGAAGCCACCTGGTCTCTTCAGCCAAGCAAGCTAATGGCTCTTTTCCTATTGCAAGCGAAAATGCGTGTCACAAGCTTTGGCATGCTCTTGGTGAGTAACCACTTCAATTTGAATATGCACTTATCTAAATGGCTTTGATTACACTCGCAATGACGTATGCTGAAAGGGTGTACCAAATAGTCTGCATTTATAAACTCTACAAGTAAATATGATCACATATGATCACCGAGACAAATCGATATACGACTGTTATGTCTGTCTGTATGAAGGCTGATAACTTTTCAACTAGAAGAGCTAGGCACACCAAACTTGGTATACATATATATTGGTCTTATCTATAGTATATCACAATTCATACAGAGTTCCATTATTTTGTATATCGGAAAGATCGGTATAAAACGATCTTGGTACCAAAAACTCTGTTGTTTTTCACAATATCGTATATAAACTTGGTATTTAGGACTTTTTTTTACTATATCCCATCATATTCAAAGATCAATCCTATTATATCTAGATTTAAAATTAAAACTGATTCACCAACGAAATATGTTTAATATAAGTTAGGAAACGCTTACAAAACGTGTCAACAAAAGCATTGTTAAGCCCGTGTCTGGGCTTTTCCAATTATTGAAAATTACAGACGTATAAATAGGAGTGCCTACATAAGCTAGTTTCTAGCCGATAATGTATTCGTTACGTGTTTCAAGTTTTCCTTTAAATACTCCCCCTTTTCCCCAATGAAAGTTAATTAATATCTATTTATTTACAAGAGCACACTACTAATTGCAACACTATTACATCTTTGGTGAGTTTGTCGATAATTGAAAACTTTTGTTTTATCACATAATTGAAAATGCCTATTGGAACCGAAACTTCGTAGATAAAAGCAGTGTCTTTCTTCCCAAAAAAGAGTTTTCTTGGAAAAACTACCAAAATAAATCAAAGCGGCAGAGTTTTATATTTTATATGACCTAAAGCTACTCTACTGTTCTTATAACTTATTAAGTTTTTCGAAACGCTCACCCTTTTGGGCCGCGCCTCTGAATTTGTAGCGTCAGCGGCCTTGCCAGAACTTCGACACATATGGCCCGCTGATTAGAATTACCCTTCAATGTTTGGCACAGCGAACTAAAAAATAAATTGAAAACAAAAAAAGCTTTCGCACACCATGATGGAGCTTTCCATTGATAACGATTGGCGTATTCATTACCGCTACGCTCTGACAATTTTGTGGCTCATACTTTTGGGTGATAATTACATTTGGGGCCACGCCGCGCGCAGCGCGACTCTGAAAAACACGGCACGAAACGGGAATATCATATTAGAATTCGATGAGCAACTGAGTAGCCGAATAGCACGCGCTGTTTAACGTCAATAAGTAGATAAAACACGCCACAATCTAATAAATAAAAAAAAAAGACAAAAAACTAGACGATTTTGTGGAGTGGTAGTTGGTAGTCGGCTAGACGAATCTTCATTATACAATAATCTACAATTGGCAACAAGGGCGGTAGTTGGAAAGTAATAAAATTAGTGTTAACTGTCGGGCGGTGGTCTGATAAGCTCCTAACTGAACACCTGTTGGGGACACACTTAACACAGTCATATGATTCATAATGCAAACATTTGAGTAATGGGCCGTGAAATAATTGCAGGACGCCCAGAGCAAGCTAAGCGAGTCGGTGTACGGTGATACGGTTTCGACGAACTCACAACCCTTTGTTCGAGGCAACACCTCTCCTACAGCAACAGCATCAGCAACAGCCCAAGGCGAAAATCTTCAGGTATCGAGCTCAAGCACTTCCAACGAAAAACCCGCCAAGACCACATCACGTCTGTCGGAGCGCGCCAAAAAGAAGTCCTGGTACAACGTCATCTATCCTAATTACAAATCCCGTGCTGAGGATTTCAAAAAGTTGTTCAAGGAAGTGCCAAACGATGAGCGTTTGATTGTCGGTAAGTTGCCATTCATTGATATAATACTCAATAGCATGCTCGAGTGACATTTTTGATATGATCTCCTCAGAATTTGCAATGGTTCTAATCGCAATACTTTCTTATTAATTTGTTATCTTTGAGTGCTGCTTTTGTTTCTGAATGAAACTGCCAAGCCAACCTATTAATACAAGTAGTTGTTCAGTAGCACGAACATAATGGAATTTATATAGACATTACCTAAACCAGATTTGCATAGCTATCAACTGTTATAAAAAACTGTCATTTCGTTTTATAGATATGCAGTCGCGACACTCAATTCCTTTTATTTCGAAGCAAAGCAAATTCTTGCAATAGTCACGTTTTAATTATTGTGCCAAATTAAGAAATCGTGTTTGACCAATTGACAAATTCTCAACATAGTTGCCATACAAAAGAGAACGCAAAGAACATCTGTCTTCTTCGAATATTGATTTGCTTCTCTTAAGAATTATTGTGTATTCTATTATTTGGTAGATTAGTTATTGTAGATCCGTTTCGTTTCTCTATAAATGCTATTTAAAGTAATTTAATCAAAACTTTTTCAATGTGCGCTAAGATGTGAAAGTCATTTTAAATATTAGCGCGATTGTGAAAGTAATCTCCTATGATGGCTGTCATCTTTCGTTTCTAGATTAGATTTCAAAAGAGTTTAATAAAATTATTGAATGTTTGAGAGATTGAGATTGAGATGTCGCGTCTGGAAGACTTCTTCATCTTTAATATTAGCTAAGATGTGGAAGTCATCTTTGCCCGTTGGAAATTCTTTTCGATCATCTATTGATTAATGATAGAATTAATCCCCAAATTGACTTCAAAGCATGTGCAATATCAAAGATATAGGCTTTAAAGAAGAAATACATATGTTACTGATAATACATTATTTCTACTCAAATAATTGAATAATAATCACATTTACTCCTCTCCCATAGACTATTCCTGTGCGCTGCAACGCGACATCCTTGTACAGGGTCGTTTGTATGTCTCGCTGAATTATGTGTGCTTTCATGCCAATATTTTCAGTTGGGAGACCTATTTGACCATCAAATGGATGGATGTGACGGCCATAACCAAGGAGAAGACCGCACTTGTCATACCCAATGCCATTTCGATATCCACAGCCAAGGAGAAATATTTCTTTGCGACATTTGCGGCTCGTGACAAGTCGTTTTTGATGCTCTTTCGTGTCTGGCAGAACACGTTGATGAACAAACAGTTCTCGCCACAGGAGATTTGGAAATATGTGCACAATTGCTATGGTGAGGAGCTAGGTCTGACCACAGACGATGAGGACTATGTAGATCCCACACTAGGTGCAGATAAGGAAACGGACCAGGACTCTCAAACGGCCATAGAGGATACGGCCGACCCAAGTCAAACCACGCAGAGCAACAGTCAGAAAGCAACGCCGCAGAGCGGCAACAGCAGCGCTAGCAGCGGTGGCGGCACCACTGTGGTGCGCAAATCAAAAACAAAATATTTCTTCAGCTCAAGCAAATCGTCGAATTTAAACTCATCGGCCAACGCTTCAGCCAGTGGGTCCGATAATCGTGCCAGCGGCGACAGCAAACGCAAATCGAATAAGAAAATGAAGCCAAATGTCAAGGAACTAACTCTTAGCTCGGTCAAGCCCAACGAGCAGACGTTGTCCGTCAGCGTTAACCACAGCAGTAACGCGTCAACGACAGCATCGTCAACAACGGCAGTACCAACATCTTCTACGGCCACAACCAGTGCCTCAGCCGAGCGAAAGAAGTCGGTTGAAAAGAGCAACAGCTTGGCAGCGACCACGTCGACGGCGTCAGGCATTGCAGCCCCTTCAGTGCCGGAGCCCAAGCATGCAGCGGACCCGAAGCGAAAAGCAAGTAAAAATCAACGCCAACGCGAGGATATAGCTGCCAAAAATACAGAGGTTGCGCCCACAGATGTCTCCGACTCCTCAGATTCCGAGGAGAATAACATACCGTAAGTAAATAGCCTGCAAAGTGGAGAGCTCTTGTGGCATATTTTCGGCCATCTGTATCTTTTTTATACCAAATTGTAATGTCAGAGTTGACAGTCTTTCTGAATTGTTGTCATAAATAACTTAAGAATCAATTTCTAAATATGTTTCTGGACCAAGTTGAACTAATGTTTCACCCTAGGAGAAACTGTTGCATAACTTGTAAAGCTCAATTGAAAGATACAGATTGAAATCAGTTCTAAAACAGTCCAGTTAGATTCATAAAAAGGTTTGACACCTTCATCTATTCTGTATGAGCAAATACTTAATTTCTGCGTTCAAATACTTTCTGAAATGTGCTCCTAGCTCGTTTTTGAAACTATTATGCTATTATTTAAATGCCAAAAAAAAAAAAACAAATTTATGAATGATAATAGTAATGTTACAAAATGTTTAAGTATAAGTCCACAGTTTTGGAGAGCTATAAGGCAGAAAAATATGATATTTTTTATAGATACTTATGTTCATAAATTATTTCATCCTCCCATTCGCAGATTTGTGCCCACCACGGAATGCACTTCCACACACGAGGGCCGACAGATTACACACACCATACTGCCCATAAATGTGGATACGCTCTACAACATGCTTTTTACCAGATCAAAATTTGTAACTGATTTCCATGCGCAGCGCAAATCAACCGACCTAAAGACGGGAGAGTGGTTTACCAACGAACAGGGCCAGACTGTGCGGGAGGTTAGTGTGACCGTACAGCTAGCAGCGTCCGTGGGACCCAAAACGTCAAAGGTAGGAGAAGAAGAATTGCTATAAGAAAGATTGAATATGATGAATTAAAATCGACTTTCCTACATAGGTTACGGAGTATCAGACCATGCGAGAGTGCAGCAAACCGGGCGAGCTTTATTCCATAGACGTAAATAGTGTAAATGCGGGCATTCCATATGCGGATAGTTTTAGCGTGCTCATACATTTCTGTCTGGCACGGTAGGTGCAGCAACGAAGTGAATGCGATCTTAGTCTGGTTGTTATATAACTAATGATAACTCCGATTTCCAGCACCGTGGATGATCACACAATGTTGTCGGTGCATGCGCAAATCAAGTACAAGAAATCCATTTGGGGCGTCGTCAAGGGCTTCATTGAGAAGAACACTTGGGCTGGACTGGAGGATTTCTTTGGGGCCCAGCTGCATGCGCTGCAGAGCGAAACGTGCATACCACCGGCCAAGGGCAAAGGACGTCGTAGACGTGGTAAGCATAGCATTATTATTATTATTTTTTAAATAGCTAACAATATCAGAAGAACAACAAAAACAACACTGCCAATGCCACTGCCATTTGCTTCTTCTAACCACACAACTAAATTGCACATCTAACTACAAAAAACTGCAACTAAAATTATATTAAAAACCATATTGAATGTAAAAAGACAAAGCTACAAGCAAACGACATACACAGGCATAAATCAACTGCAATCAGCGGCGACAACATCAACAACAACAATAACAGCAACAACAACTAGTACGGACAATGACAGTAATCGGGAGATCTGTCCAAGTGCGCCTCTGCGTTCGCTTGCGCCATCATCTCCGCTGCCCCATCATCATCACCATCATCTACAGCACTTGCATCAGCATCAGCACCAACACCTGCACCACCATCATCACCACCATCATCAGTTGCATCATGAAATGCATGAGCAGCAGCTGCAGCGGGCTTGCCAGCACCGTAAGGCTATATTTCAGACATTGAAAGGTATCGCATATTCCAGTTATTATCCGAAAGACAATCAGCATTCATAGTGAACAACTCCAGCTCTGTAATATTGGAAATATCTATTTCAGATATGGATTGCAAAGTTGCGCGTACAATATACGTTGTTGCACCTTTAATTGCTGATTGATGGCGACACGATTGTCACTTGGTAGTTGTCATACATTTTCCATTCAAAAATTGACTAAATAGTATTTAACAAATACATTGTTAGATCTTAGAAAACTATACCCCAGAATATATTTATGTATGTACATACGTGTATTTCAAAATCTTCACAATCACATTCTTCCTCCTGACTTGTTAGAGAACTTGTCACCCATTATCTTTTTGTTGATTTTGCTACTCCGTTTGTGCAATTGAAGTGGTAGCTTGAAACAGGGAATCAAATGCCACTCCAAACTATTTCGGAACTCTTTAATAAGCGTTTTCAAAAGTGGGTTAAAACTAAGTTCATTGCGAAACGGTCCGTCACTTATTCAAATGAAATATAGCCCCTTTTTAAAAGAGGACTCTGCTTCTGATTATCACAATCAGTCTTTCAATCATCTCAATCATCTTTAACAATTGAAATATTTTGAGATCTGTAGATTGAAATTATGAAATCGCTCGAGGTCTCTCTCTATCAGAAATAGATATAAATTGTTTTTAATTTTACCTTCTATCGAAAGTAAAGCAATCTCACTTAAGATCTTAATAAGTAGCACCTAAATATTATCATTGTCTTTTAATAAGCAAGTGGTTTTTAAATATCTGCCATTTATGAACTCTGAGTATGCTTTCAAATCATTCATTCAAATTTTAAAATATTCAATATTTAGTAATGAATCGAAGAGTCGACAAAGATTTCTTGAAATTGTTGTTAGGCATAAGAAGTAAACTCATTTATCGCATACCTTATAAACGTTGCTTAAAATATAACTATATCTAAATCTGCATTTCTGCCTTGTGACAATCCTGTTCATGACATTCGTCTGTTTTGCATTTTTTTCTGAATCTAATTTCGTTCTAAATACTTATTTATTTTTACTTTTAGGTTAAATTTTAATTGTGCCGCAACAAAACATACTTATTAAGCACCAATTTTATACTAACTTTTCATTGTTGTTGTTTGTTTTTTGTTGTCTCTCTCACGCTCTTTTTATTTAATTTGGTTTCTCTAACCTTGCCATTGCCATTTTGTTTTGCATTCGTCTTGCAGGTACGAGCACACAAATACGCCCCTTAGAGGAAGCAACTGGCAGCTCGGCACATTCAAAATCCGATACACTGGAGTGTCAGTTACTGTCCACAAATGCCGCTGCCGCTGCTGGCGGGGGTCACGCGTTGCATGCTGCGGGTGGTGGCAGCAGCAATCAGCAGCACTTGGGCGCACAGCACCACCACAACCACCACCACCAGCAGCAGCAGCAGCAGCAGCTGGATGGGCTGCCAATGGGGGGCAACGGTCAGGGCCAACACAAATCTAGACACAAAGGCTTCTCATTCTTTGTTATACTGTTGATGTGCTTGCTGCTGGCATTAAATGTGATATTATTACTTAAGCTCTGGAAGCTGGAGGAACGCATTGATGTGGATCTCAATCGACGTGCTCGCATGGCCACAATCTCAACCCTAAAGTGAGTGATAAATAAATATCTTTAAGATATATTTGTAACTGAAATGCCTCCTCTCTCCTTGCTAAGCAGGGAACTACCAAACACAAATCAAGATTGGCTGGAGCTTTTGAATCAGCAGGAACTCTCACACCAAACCGAATTACGCAAATGGCAACAAGTGCTGCAAACTGCCATCGAATTGTTGAAAAAGGTGAGCATCGTCTGTGAGAAGATTTACAATGACGATCAGCTGCGGCAAAATATTGAGTCTATGCATAATGAATTTTAAGTGACTAATCCAATCCAATCCAATCCCATGTGGAGGAGGCAAGCAAAGCAAATAAGCCAAGCGAACAATTAAGCAAACCACAGCAAACTAATTGTAACTCACAGACACAAACACAACTCTACACCTATAATACTATATCCATATATATTTATGTGTATGTTACATTCGCTCAGTTGGGCAAAGGCACATTTGTTATTAAGTTTAAGGCGCGTCTTTCGGATCTCTAAGACATACACAAAGCAAACAAAAAACAAACAAACAATTGTTGCATGTTCTTTAGCCACATAAGTTTTGTATTGTAACTTATTGCAGTTTTGTGGCATTTGTATGTATTTGTGCGCGCATTCTGTCGTCCATATGTATATAACAATGCAGTATGTGTGTGTGTGTGTGTGTGTGTAAAAGTTGAAAATTCAAAACAATATTTAACACACTCTTCCACTACTAATCTAGCTATCTAAACAATTAAACAACAAATTAACTCATCACATTTAATTTTCAACCTAGCTGCGTATTTTGTGTTCCTTGTTTCCTTTCATTAATTTTTTGTTGAAAACCCCCTGTTGGTGTATAGTTTTGTAAATTTTAGAATTTATATTATAAAAAAAAACACGACTGAATTTAATCGATTAAGTCATATTTAATTATTTATTATATTTTGCTCAAGAGCTCACTAGGAATTTCTAAAAATTTACACGTTTCTTTGGTAATTTAATTAAAGTTATGGTTTACTTGTAATTCAACAATATATTTAACCTTATAATAGTTTCAATTCAATTTATATCGAAATTACATTTTATATTGGCTCTTAACTTAAGAAACTTAACAGCCAAACAGGTGGAGAACTAAGAATTGAAGAATTTTCAAAAATGAAACACTTGTTGGTTATTTACTAATTAAAATAAAATCTTATCTAATGCGGACTACACATCGGTACTCTCACGACTAATCATTTTCTGTAATCATGGCACTTTTTGATACTTTTCCCGAAGGAAGCATCCCCGGTTAATGAAATATTCTTGATCGGTCAATCTGTCCGCCTGAATGAACGCCAGGATTTCAAAAACGACTGAGTCCACCTTCACTAAACTCGGCATGTGAACTGTCCTATTTTATTTTATTGTTAAAATTATTCCCACACTCTTCCCTGGTAAAAAAAAAATGAATCAACACTGCCCATAATTCCACAGCTACATGAGCTAGACTACATAAATCTATGCTTCTATCTACTAAAACATTAAAGTCGGTCAATTCCAAGATTAGTGATTAGCGAACCCATTTTACTTTGGTACTACGCCTCAAAACTACGGTACCGGATTTATACCGCTGCTATACGCCCATAGAACAGCGACGAAAACAGTGTTCACAGCACAATTTCGTCTGCTTGATAACAACAACTATGTGTAACAATAACAACTACAAGTATAATGGCACGGCCCCCAGACATAAATATACAATAAACAATATCGCTACTAATAAACCATAATATGGGAGTATGTGTATTAAATAAAATTAAATTTTTCGAAATTTCAAAATGTGAAGGCCTCGTTTATGCACTAATAATTGTGAAGGCAAAGATTAACCCAAAAAAACTAGATTACAAATGAAAAGAAGCGGGCCTTCTTACCAACTTCTTTTTAAAGAGCAGAAGCAGTTAGTTTTCAGTTATTTTTCTAGCATTTTGGCTTCCCTCTAACACTTTTCATTTAATCCACGATGCTCTCGGAGAATGATATTTATATATTCGCAGACTTCAGTTCTTGTTGGGAAAGAATAGTAATTCCTTCTCACTACTTTGCTGCTTCCTTTCATGTCCAAAATTTCCCCCCACAATCTAAATGAGTTTTGATTATCGTTGGCTGATCGTTGATCCTACAACTATGTGAATCGCCATAAAGTAGAACCGTGTGTAGCCCGCAAAGGTGTCGATATAAAACGACATCGGCAGCTCTATTTATTTTATTTTAATAATTTTTAATAAAAAAAAAGTAAGCACATACATTTTCAAATTCAATAACCGTCTTAGATTATTTTTTAGTTATAATGTAAAGAAAACAGTATAATTTAAACTGCAATATGAATCACTGAAATAGAACTCGTGAATTTAAGCCTAGTTTTTTAATTATAACCTATTAACACTGTTTTTTAAGCCACATTTAAAATGAATTTTTAAAGCATTTGTAAAGAACGAATTTGAAATTGATTAGCATTCGCACTAAAATGTCACCACAACTAACCAAGCCTAAATATTTATGATTTATTCATTTTGTTTAATTTGCATTTAATCTGGACCTAATGCCATTTATCATTGCAGACTGAAAAGACTTTGGCTGAAGTCATGTTGCCTTAGCAGCAACCACAAAATTTGCATGCAAATTTTCCCAAAAAAGAAATAAAAAGAAAAGTGAAAGTGCAAGTGTTTAACAACAACAGCAAAAGGCGCAACAAAAATGACGGCTTAGTTCCTTCAACTAAAAAAAGAAGCCACCAAAATTTTGAATTTTAAATTCAATTGAAAAAAATTAATCACAATTGCAGGCCAACAACATGTAACACAACAACAAGAGCAATGTGTGTTAATAGCAAACAATTTAGTTAGTTAATTTTTGTAATTATGTATGCCTTGGCATTAAGACTTAGTTGTTAAGTAAAAAATTGCTCTCAACCTTGGTGCATTTTAGTTAGAAGTTTCAATTTGTGTTATCATATCAATATTTTAAACACAATTAGAAACACACACACACACACACACACACACATACAAAACAAGGACAGTGCAGAATGTGCGTCTTGAATTGTTGTCTCAAAGGCATTGTGGTTTATAGTATAAACCTGTATAAAACTGTTCGGTCAGTTAATAAATTTGATAAAATTTTTATGTAAACATATTTTTATATAACAACCCGCATGCTGTTTGTGTACAACTTTGTGAGATAATTTTGATTTTGTACTGTATCGTACCTATGCTCCCTCCTTGAACTAGTTTTTTGGCGCCCCGTTTACAGTCTACGCTAAAACCTCCAACAACAACAACAACAACTATTATACATAAAAGCTAAAGTATTATTGTTAGTTTGTAGCCGTTGCATTTTAGCTAAGAAATGAAAGCGAAACTGCTGATAATTGAAGCGCGTGTGCGAATTGTGTGTGAAATGTTAAAACTATTAAGCAAACCCCCCTAGTCCCTAAGAGTTTCAATTGAAAATTGTATGTAAATGCTTGTAAGCCACGCTGCAGCAACAATTAGCTGTCAAATTATTTAAGCCAAAACCAATTGGCTTCCAAAAACAATTCACATGGGTCGCCCATTAAGTTAAATTGTTAGGCTGCAGCAATAAAAAATATCTAATTTATTATACGAAGAAAAAGTGTGAAAAACCATTGCAAAATAAAAACAATGTATACTTTTAAAATAAATTGAAATTCAATTACTTATTTTCATTTATTCGTTGCAGCTAAATATTTTTGAATATAAACGCATGCTGAGCTTTTTTCTTTGCTTACAATTCTAAGCTGCAGTATTTCCAGAAGCCTTCAGTTTCGAATTTTTAAACTCGTTTGATGGATGGAACACTTTTATGAACGATCTCCATGACGACATACAAGTATGTTTCAAGGAATTGGAAGCAACAGAAACACGCCCTCTTCTCTACTTTTTCTATACTTAGCAGAGAATATCTTGGATCGCTGTATTCTAGCAAATAGTTTCCACTGGAACGATTTTATATGGAACTGTGTTCTCTGATTGATTCTTTGTCTCAGAATCTTAACGTCTGATGCAAATTCAAGTCAAGAAGCTACAAATCAATCAAAACTAATAATTAATTGTAAACCTAGCAAGGCTAGCTAAATATAATCTACAGCTGGGATAAAAGGATATCAAAACAAATAAAAAATCTGATATGCCCGATATGAAGACACAATTAGAATATGAAGAAGGGGAGAAGAACGGATTTACGTCTAATCGAAAATGATGAATACTACTTGTAATAGTATATTGAAGAAATTAGTTACAAGAAATTATTCCCTAGTGTTTCAATTAATCGTGAAATGACAAATCCTCTCTGAAAACAATTTAATTTCTCTACAAACCACACACAATCAGAAAACAATTTTCCGATTCATTGTAAATTTATTTTTTGTGTATTTTCTCGTCTGCAAAAACATAATAATTAATTAACCATAATTTGTAAAATTATTTTATATGGAAACCAATAGGTTCCACACAATCGCAGCTGTCGGATTGGCTTGGAGTCTGCTGGTTGCCACATAAAACTGCTGGAAGGAACTCGAAGCTGTTGTTAACCATAATTTTCGAGAAAGAAATGTTTGCTCCACGGATCCTCTCACATGCGCCAGCGACTCAGGTCGCCGCCGCTGGAACGTTTCGTTTGCTGCAGGGAACCGGCCTTGGCCTCACTACCGCGCGACTGGAGCGATGTCTTGGATTTTCTTTTGCGCAGAATTCTCTTCTTTCGCACAATCTTCTCAGCAGGCGGAGACTTTGAATCCCTTTCCGCAGCGAGCAGTGCGGAATGCTTCATAGCCTTGTGCGAGGCATTGCGATTGACTTTCTTGGGCGTCATGGGCAGTCGTTTGTCCAAAGTGCTGGTTGAAATGTGCTTTGGATCCTTACCCAGTGTTGTGCTCTTAGTCTTCCGCTTCTTCTTTTTCGTGGTGATGCTAGCGGGTGTTTCTGTCAAAGACATTTCCGATCTAGTTTTGAAAGTGTTCTTTCGGCTTCCAATCCTGCGCTCTGTCTGTGCCGCCTCCGCCATGGAGGGCTGATGGAACGTTTCAGTCAGATTTGTTTCTGGTGGACAGATAATGGATGTTGTTCTCGTCTTGTTGTGCGCCTTCGAGGACATTCGCTCCACCAGCTGCGTCAGCACTTCCTTCTTGGTGGGCGGCGGCAAAACAACGGGTCCACGCTTCTTAGTCAAATGCGAGGCGGTCACAACGTTGCGCGGTTTGGTCTCAACACGAGTACGCGGCTCCTCAACAATAGCTCTCGGTTTCAGTTTCGATTTCTTAGTCCTAGACTCTAGCATGGCATATCCGACCACGGACTTCTCCACCGCTTGCCAACGACCGGATGTACGTTTTCCCTCCGTCTGCAGCGCCTTTTTCTGGGCCTGACACTGAACAATCATGTCGTATATGGACGGAATTGTTTTATCCATCGCGGAACTCAAAAGTGTTTGACTTTTCGCACCTAAGTATGAATTCTGAAAAAGTGTGAATTTGTGTGAAAATCTGCGTGCGTTATAAAAACTCAACTTTGTTGTGTACGAGAAAAATTTGTTACTAACACTTTGACAGAAAATTTCAAAGTACAAGGTTTGCGACAAAAAACAAAAAAAAAAAAACATAAAAATATATTCTAAATCTAAACTGAACTGAACAGCATAAAAATTATATTGACAACATTTTTAAAGCCATGGACTAACTATTCTGTAAATATTTGAGTAAACTGCAACTGTTAAGTATACATATATATTAGAAATAGTGATTGCTTTTGTTATACGCAATAGCGTGTGAGATACATTTGTAAGAAAAAAAAATGTACTTATCAGACTGTGACGGTAAAACGATAAGCTTCGCAATGGCCTACGTGCCGAAATATTGGAATTAAAAGACAACGGGTGTCAGACAGACTGAGTTATATAAAGTTTTATTTTGAATGATTTTTCAGTTTACATTTTTAAGTGAATAGGCTGTGAACATAATTTTAAGGTTAATAAAGCCTTTAAGTTAAAATACTAATTAATTAAGAGATGATTTAGAAACGCTTTAAACAGTACAAATAGCAATATCCACTTGAGGGCGTAGCTATGTTATTATTTAAAGCATTCATAATAAATAGCAACTTCTCTTTGAAAGGCCAAGAAAAGTTGCTTCGAAGTCTTGCATTTTCGTTGCATACTTTTAGGAGCTCTTCTTTATTTTGAAGTCCATTTTGAAACTGAATGCGGAAATTGAATTTTAAATTTGATTTAAAACGGAGAATTTGTGACTTTTGATAGGAACCTTTCATGGTAATAATTTAATAAATAATAAACATATGGGAAATAGCAAATAAATAATAAAAAACCACTAACGCCTATGAATTTCGTTTTTGTTCTTTAAACGCTATAAATGCGACAAAGATAAAAAAAAAGATAAATAAATACATACATACATAAATTTCTACATAAATATGCACATAGTAGTCATATACGGGAATAGAGTTTGCTAGAAATGTCATCAAAAAAATGCGTAACAAAAATCGAGCGAAAAATGAGCCAGCAAAGAATTATCAAGCAATTCGCATACACATGCACACATTGAATATATGTATATATGTACATATATCATATACATATGCATGTGTGGGAGCAATATAAAATGATATATAAAATATATGACACATTATTTTATACGAACTTATGCATAAATATGTATGTAGGAAGGTAGAAATGTAGAAGGCAACTCTTATCAGCGACAAAAACAACTGTACATTTACCTCTTCTTCACGCACGCACACACACACGCACACAAGTGCCGGCATCTACGCGCATGTGTGTATGTGTCCGTGTGCATGTGTAGAGAAAAGTTTCATGCACAATAACAAAAACTATGCGTATGTTTTTTCAAGGTTAAGAGCAAGTGCGTGTCTACAAATAAGTCTGCGCTTCTCTATGTGTGCGTGTGTGTGTGTCTGTGTTTTTTTTTCTGCGAGCGTCGCGCTGTCGTCAACATCTCAACAACCGTTCGCCACAGTGCGTACAAAAAAACAACTTGCAAAAAAAAAACCAGCTAAAAAAAATTATGAAAGTCACAAAAGAGCCACACACACAGAAATATAGTTTTCGCGCGATAAATATCAGCCATACCTACGTCTATATATACACGCGTATATGAAGTAGTCGCTTTATGCGCTGACTTATAAAGCTAATGACCGACTTTTGTTTGCGCAGCATTAGTTGCCAAATGCCAGCTGTTTTCAAGCTTCTATATTCATTTTCTTATTGGAACAGAACAACAATGTTTTTATTTTCCGGCTAAACGCACGAAATTGCGCATACGCCTCGTTATGTTGCGGTTTTTTCTCTCTCTGTGGTCGCGAGTTTAATGACTGATAAGGTAAGCAATGACCGATTGTATGTACATACATACATACATATGTGGCTAATTATTGCCTAATGGGCCGTTGCGCGATAACACAAAGTTTGCCAATTTCATAAATTTGGCAGTTTGAGTGCAAAACTTTTCTATTTGATAGTAATACTATTTAAAAGAACGAAATGGCTGCAAATTAAGACTGCATGGAATGAAGCATTTCAAATTGGATTTTGAAAAGGTAAAACAAGATCAGCATATTTTATATTCATTATCAAACCTATTAGTAATTAGACAAATAAAAAAAAAATAATAATATGTGTTTCTTAGTTTGTATATTAATTAGTTTTCATACTATAAACACTGTTTCACAATAAAAGCTCGTGAAAAAACAATACAATCGCCTAATTGTGTCTAGCTCTGATAATCCAAACAATGTCCAAATGGGCACAAGTTTCAAATTAACGAGACATGGAAAAATTTCAAAAAGATGAGGCCTCATTGCGTGTAATTAAAACTTGATTTTGTTGATAACATATAGTATTGGCTTAATTAATTAATTGTTTTAAAAGTGGATGAGGAAAAAAAATTGGCATCTTTTACATATTAAGGGGGCTGTTATTGCGAACAATATCAAAGCTAATTATACGCAAAATGAATCACTTAATATTAAAATGTTTCTTTGTTAATAACAATTAAGTAAGCATAAGTACTATAGGTTTCTCTTTGCAAATTCACAAAGAGACTTTGTTTTGTAGGACTTTCTTTATGCTGCTCAATTCTAACAAAAAAAAGTTTCATTTCATGCTTATTTTATTGTCTACTAAACATTTTTAGAGCATTGCAATTAGTATATTAATGTATGTATATGACAGAAAGAATCAGATAAAATGTTTTAATTCAAATAGAATTTGAAAATTTTGACCGTTCGAAGTATGGTGTGACTTTGGTTCAAAATAAGCACAATTTTATAAAATCGGAAACAAAAATAGATATATCTGAGAGGGCAAACAAATTACCATATATTTTAAAATTCTACAAATTTAATTGATGATAAGTCACTTCCAAATTAGAAGCTTCAAGCATTTAATGATATTAATACATAAGCACCGATCGTTCAGTTTCTAAAGTTTGAGAAGTTCTTAAAAAACACGTTTTACCAGCAATTTATTTAGGAATTGAAAGTTAATATCAATTTGAAGCAAACGTATCAATCAATATGAGGAAGCTTACTCAGTTGGCAAATTGAATTCATGGCCATGAAGAACAGCCTAAAGAATTCCTAATTTGTTTTATCAACTCAACTATATACTCGTATGTATACTATATATAATATGTAAAAACAAATTGTATCGCACAAGCTTAATTAAAATTCTCCGAGTAGCTCTGAACGTTGTTCTTCTCCACTTGATAAGTTCTGTTAGGTTTTTTTTGGCTTTACTTCTTTGTGAAATACCAGATATCTATATTCTTACAACAACTGTTATTATCGACATTTATTGAGTGGCCTGAGCTTCCGGTTTTTAGCCGAGGCTCCCATCAAATCGATCTTAAACAGCACATCTAATCGGGTTACTTGTATCAAGAACATGAATGAATGTCTTTCATATCATTAGCTCTGTCCAATCGGTTGTCAAGCTACATATATATATACTACATACATACATATGTAATATCAATCGAAATGTGCCCAAACAATAGTATCAGTTAGCTATACATACATACATACTATATGTATGTATGTACATATATAGCAGATGTGTCAGTTTAGAACTGCTCGCGAAACTCGTTTAATTGACTATTAAATAGTTAGCCATCAAGTTCCACAACTCGTTTATGGAATGCTCTAGATTTTCCATTACAAAAAAATATTGTGTGTTTATCAGATGGGCTCAGCAGTTTTGTCGGACCGTCATAAAAAAGCGAAAACTAAATGTTTATCAGAAAGTTGATTACGAAAATTTGCGATCACTATCAGTGGCAACTGGCTGATTACATGATTATACAAATACATAGTTATATATATGAACATACGAGGGTGGGTTGATAAGTTGGAACGACATATGTAAAGCTTAAGCTATGGCTGGCATTCGCCATCGTCAGATTGCTTTCAAAATGTTTTCAAATGGTAATAGGTGATCGAAAAGGGAAGGTGTGCGGGATTGTGGAAACTGTAAGTAGGTGTACCATGAATGAAGGGAATTATTTCGATATGAGAATTTCTCTTGAAGGAGTTTTTGTCTTTGATTAATCATGATCGTTGACAAAACTCCAGACACCAAGAAACACTCGAAACAGTTGACTGAAACAGAGAGTCGAAACCAAAGAATGCTACAAGATAATAGGAATCTTGGTTTCCTCGATAATGTCAGAACGATAAACGAAAAATAAGTATTATTCATAATTATTGGATGTATTTAAAGAGTGGAAGTCAAACAAAAGCGAAAGCGAATATTAACTCTTAACAGAATGGTTTTCGGTAAAGAAATACCAATCAAAGAAAAAGGTGACCTCCAAAGTAAACGTTTACTTTGAGAATCCTTAAAGAATTAGAACAAAATTGGCTTTGGCTTTTATAGAGGGGTATACTCAAAAGTAGGGATTATTTATCAGTCAGCCCCCGCATATGTACGTTTGTATGTATTAGTTATTTGGTGAGTTGAGCAAACTATTGCAGTCATTGTGTTACATGGTAAGGGCTTTAAATGATAAGCAGTTGGCAGCTTGTAAAGAGCAATGCTCTTAATTTAACAGTGTGAGAGTGAGAGGTGTAAATTGCATGTAAGCCTTCGGGAGCGGATTATTAACAGTGTTCGAGAGAGAGAGTGAGAGCCAGAGGGAGAGCGGGAGAGTGTGAGCAGCTGGAGCACGTGCAGCTGTGCTGAAAGCAGCAGCTCCAACTTGTTGGCGCTCACACAAATACACACACACACACAACGCATGTCATTCATGCAGGCGCTCTTCAACGAACGCGCGCTCTGCCTTAATTTGTTGTTGCTGCTGTTGCTGCGACGACAATAGCAACAGCAGCGACAGCGACAGCAGCAACTTAACGGTCACAGCGCTAGCGTCGCTGCGATCAGTACGAGATCGAAATCGGCCGCCGTTGGATGTTTTCACTGCAAAGAGCGCGCGCGTGCCTTCTACTGCGTCTTCCTCGTCTTTTATTGTCGTCGTCGTTGTCGTCGTCGTCTTTTATTGTTGTTGTCAGAAAAGTTGTCGCCGTCGTACAAGCTACGATCAGTTCAGTTAGTTAGTCGCAGTCGCCGTAACAACAACAACAACTTGCACTGCTCGGTGCGTTCGCGTTCTGATCATCAGCGTCAGTCACACTCGTTTGTGCGTGTCTCTCCCTCTCCGCCTCTGTGTTTGTGATCGCGTATGTGTGTATGGTGTTCTTAAATATATTTTTTCGAAAAAAATGTTTTTTAACAAAAATGCAAAAATGTGCACTTCAATGTAAACTACGTGTTTCCGATTGTAAAAAGGGCATTCAACAAAAACATATGTACATGCATGCATAAGTACGAATATGTGTGTGTGTTATACATATATCGCATATACAAGTATAAAATAAAGCAACAACAAGAGTGCTAGGCCCATAATATTATTTTTAATACCTTCCAACGCCTGCGTCCTACCCACCAACGGAACAGATCGTCTTCCTGCCGATCCGCCAACCGCCGATCCGCCGATCAACCAATCCACCGATTCGCCATTCATTCTGTGTTTTCGACGCCGCTGTTTGGGTGCGTGCCTTTATTTTATTTCATTTATTATTGTGTTTCATTTCGAAAGTCTTTTTGTTTTTGTTAATACATATTTACATACTACATACATCTACCTATGTGCATTCCCACATACATGTATTTATACATATTTAAATATCTATGTATATATGTACTCGTATAGTATGTTTATATGTGTGTGTAGAAAACGTACAAACTGACGTTTCGCTCTGGCGCTTTGTTTCGCGCGGGCTAATTGACAAATAACAAAAGAAGATGAGGAGGGGGAGGACGCGTCTCGGTGCATAAAACAGATTGCCAAAAAGACAGAAGTTGTGGAAGAAACATTGTGTGAGAAGCACGCCGAGACGCCAAGAGCCAAGTGTTGAGAGCCGATCCGAGAGCCTCCTTCAACTTTGTTTTCTTTTTGTTTTTTGGTTGCAGTGAATCAGTTAACGGCATTACAATCAATATTTTAGTTTAATAATTCTTTTTTGCATTTTATTCAAATCTGAATAATTACTTCCCCTGCCTGGTAAGCGAACCGTAAGTGCTATATCATGTTTTGACGATCAAATATTAGAGAAAAATAATTAATGCACAAAATATAAAGATTGCAATTTTGAATTCTATGTGCGCGATGGAAAAAAAAAATAATAATAACACAGCTTACCTCCAAACAAACGTACATATAAACATACATACATACATACGAGTATATGCAAATGTAAATATTTGCAATCTTGGGCACAATATAAAAACATTGATGAGGAATTTCGGAGAGTAGGGTGGCTCAAAATTTTAGAACATCAACGCATAAAATAAAAATCTGAATATAAATAAAATTTTAGTTACAAATAAATAAAAATATTTCATTATGAATATTATAATTTTAAATGAATATTATTATTTAATTTTTATATGGGAATAAACATGAAACTACATCTTTAATTACGAAATTACATTTGTAATTTAAAAGAAAAATTGAATAGTTTTACAAGTGTCTAAAAATGTTAACAACAGAAATGTTGACATTAGCAATCAATGCTTTAACATTTTTACTACTATTACAAAAATTAACCATGAAAAACTAAATAATAATATTAATAAAAAAAAACTGGATTTATAAACAAATAAGTGCATGAATATAAATTAAATGTGTAAGAAGCAATACTTTAAAGATTTAAACAATGACAAATTTATAAAAAATATTTAAATGAATTTTATAAATACCAAAAAATAAATAAATAAATAGTCATTATTTACTTTTCAAATTAAATCATATATAAATTTCAAACGTTTAAATCAGTGACATTCTTATTATTAGATTTAATTTATAAGCCAGATACACATATTTAAATACACTTAACATATACAAATTTAAATTTATTTATATACAGGTATAGAATGAACGTTTGTATTTTTAAACGTTGCAATTGTTACATTTATTTATATGTATAAATTACTATGGTTATTGTACAAGCTAAGATTAGACTAAGTTTAAATTATTTATTAATGATTGACAGTATAGATTACTTAGATTCTGTAAGTGTTTGTGGAAGATCTGAATAAATAGGTACTGATTAATGCTTTTGTTTAATAATTAATTAATTTATGGAGTCAATCAGTTGCTTAGGAATAACCAGATTTTAAAGACTATATTTAGCTTATTTAAATACATAATAACCAGTTGGAGGTTAGCTTTAATGGGGATGATGAGAAAATATTTTGAAATTGTTATATACTCATGTGATTTATGTTAAGATATTGAAAGTAGTTATTTATTTTGATAAGCTTATAATAAATTATTGAAACTATTGATGAATAATAATTATTTTAAAGACTCTTGAACATAACTATTACAAGTTCTTGAATATATTATATAAACTATAATTTATAGAGATCAACAAGAGATTAAGGTTGAGTATTTAATGTGCTTAATATTTAATATTATTTATTGAAATCATTGAGCGATTAAAGTCGATTAATTATTGCCTTAAATATTTATAAATTTAACTCATTGCTTTTGCATTTCCATAAATATATTAACTGGATAAATGCACATTATGCTTGGTTAAATAACATTTGCACTCAATCTTTAATTATGGGCTTGCAATTATTTAATCATATACATTTTCATCTGTTTTACAGTTCGCCGCAATTACGGGCAACGCCACCAGTTATGAAATTTTGCTGAAATAATAATACAAGAGAGAGCAAAAGGCCCCAAAATATGTTTAAATGCATTTAAAACGTGTTTACGGCGACAGCGTTGAAAATACTTCACAAAATTAAACTTTAGCGAAGCACGCAATCGAAGCCAACAACAACAACAACAAGTCAGATTTACAAAATTAAAAAGCAAAAGCAGCAACAGCAACAACAACAACAACAACAAAATCCATATCCATACATAAACTGTGGCAGACAAAAAAGCAAAATTCAACAAAAAGGTGATAATGATTATTTCCAAGGATCTTTTCATATTTGGCGAACATATTTTTGCAACAATCATACCAGAAGGTGGAAGCGCGCAGCAGCAGCAGCCGCAGCCGCAGCAGCCGCAACAACAGCCGGCAATTATAAATACAACAACAGCAACAACTGCACCGCCAGCAGCAGCGACGTCATCGTCGTTGTCGGCAATAAACTCGACGGCAGGAGCAGCTGAACAAGTTGTAGAGTCATTAAAAGCAGCCGCCGCAGCAGCAGCAGCAACAACAACTACAGCAGCAACAGCAGCAGCAGCAGTAGCAACAACAACAGCAACAGCAAAGCAGCAACTGCCAGCAGCAGTAGTTAATACAAAAACGTCGTCGTCGTCGTCGTCGTCATCGTCTCCGTCGTTGCTGTTGACTAAACAGGAAACAGTTGCAGTTGTTGCCGCCGCACTGCCCCCCATCAGCAGCAACAGCAGCAGCAATAACAACAACAACAACAACTACAACAACAATAGTAACGTGGCCATCAATACCAATAACTTGCGCGGCATTAAAAAATCTACAACAAAAATTCAAAAAATTCCAAAGGAAGCTGAAGAATTGAAAACTAAGAAAAAGGCGCACAAGTGTGAAGTTGTTGGAGCTAAGTCGCAACAACAACAACAACAAGAACAGGCAGAAGCAATGCTGCCACAATCGCAACTAAATTACTCCAAAATGCCACAAAATTTGCTGAGTCTAGAAAGTGTTGAGCCCGACACTATGTCCGATAACGATATGGAACAAGTACCGTTGGTGCGACCCCAGTTGGCCAAAATTGTTGCTAGTGCTGGTGGGGGAGATTGTCGCCTACAAATTGAAGTGGACAGCAGTATGCCAGTGACGCCAGTAGCCACAACTTCAACAACAACAACAACAAATGCTACCAACTGCTCGTCATCTTCGTCAACATCGTCAGCGTCATCAACCACATCGTCCACAACGTCATCAACTGGCTCCACATCCTCAGAATTTACGCACACATCACAAACGACAATACCAAGTACGGATAATCTGTCGTCCAATGCCGCAAATATGGGCAAAAGCATCTCAGTCGATGCCAAAAGGTAAGAAGTCTGACCCAATTATGTTGATTGCATGCACAAGCCAGCCCCTGCTTAATCAAATAACTATCAACAAATGCCCTCTTCTTATGATTATTTTTTCTTCGGAAACCCTCCATACAAGTATAGTATTTATAACCGGACCATTGGTATTACTTTTAAGAAACACTCTTTATGAATGAAAAGTAAGCAAGCTTGGAAGGGGAAAGCTGTGACTCAGTTAAGTCTTGAGAAGGTATTAAATAAATTGAGTTTCAAAATCTGGAGACAGCTCTTTAATAGAAAATTTGTGTTAAGCAACAAATAAGCCAGCAAAGAAGAACTTATGAACTAACAGAAAAGTATAGAAAAACTTAAAAATAATAAACAATAGTTTTAAAAATAATTCAGACTTCGCAGAAATTGTAGGGCAAGCTTCTTCTTTTTAACCATTTCTCCAATAGAATTTTTAATCGAAAGATCCTTAAAACGATTGCATATCTGCAGCATCAGTAAAAACATCTTCTTACACAGCGTTTGTTTCAAACATAGAGTTCGACAGCCATTAAATCGTTTAGATTTAGCTTCAAAATTCTTTCAGGATTACTTTTTTCAAAACGAAGTCGCTTTTAGGCGTTTTCCACTGTATGTTTATATTTTTATTTATTTCTTTTTTTTTTGATATTAGAATGCAAGCCGCTCAAGCGAAATACCGCGATAATGCACACCAACAACAACAACTACAGCAGCAGCACAACAAGAACCGCAACAACAACAGCTGCAACAACACAAGAAATAAAATACAGGCCAAAACTGCAGTGTGCGTAAAATTTCACTAAAAATTTGGGTTACATTTTCGAGCGGCATTAAGAACACGAATGAACATACACTGTAACAAAATACACACAGACACACACATGCACAAAATTGCAGTTGGCTGGCTGAAGAAAAAGAGAACATCTGAAGTCAAAATACCAGATAATTTAAAAGAAAAACCAAAAAATTGAATAAAAAAAACGAACTGAATTCTGAGCAGGAGCAGGTTTTTGGTTGTTGCAGTCTTTGTTTTGTTGTTCTTGTTGTTGTTGTATTCATGCGTTGCACTCAATGGGGGCTTAAACAGACACACACACATACATGCATAGAAGCGATCAGTATGCAGGCCTGTCTACAGACATACATACTATACATACAGACGGGCATCCTGCATTATTTGGGCATCAGACAGCAGGCACCAGCCAGCAGGCAATGAAGCCTAAGCCAGCGAAGCTGCAGCAGCAACCACAACAACAACAACAACAGCAACTGCAGCTCAAGAACAACAACAGTAGCAGCAGCTGTTGATTAAGAACTTAGTGGAATTGTTGTTGTTGTTGTTTCTTTTAGTACTCATACCCACACTTGCAGGAACTGCGCTCAATTGTGCTCGGACGAGGGCTGCAAAGCTTCAGCAACCGAGCCTTGGTTGGAGATTTGTGCTGCTGCGAAGCGACAATTTCATTCAGGAAAGCTGTCGTCGCGTAGGCAAATAATTCCAACAACCACAGCCATATAGGCATGATATTAAACAGTTGCAGGAACTTCGCGAACTTCCGCTTCTAAGCAGAACTGTGGTTGGGGATTTGTGCTGCTTAAAATATCGTTCAATAAGGCTGTGGTCATAATTTGAATAATTCTAGAATTGATGTATGCCTAGAAAACTGTTCAGATAGACTTTATAGAAAAGAAGCATATTAAAGCAATTCTACATTGATAATTCTTGATCATCTCACATTAGACAACTGACCATCAGAGTATCCAGATGAAAGAAATGAAAACTAGTTAGAAGTGATATCTTCAGAGTATTCAGATAAAAGAAATGAAATGTACATAGTTATATATTCTTCTTGACAATTTCTGAACAACTGCTATCAACGAACTAGAATCTCCAGAGTATCCAGACGAATGAAACGAAAGCTAGTTAATTATTCTTCTTGACAATTATTGATCAACTGCGGTAAAAGAACTGATATCTTCAGAGTATTCACATAAAAGAAATGAAATGCACATAGGTTAGATATTCTTCTTCACAATTGCTGATCAACTGCCGTCAACCAACTAAAATCTCCAGAGTATCCAGATAAAAGAAATGAAAACTAGTTAGATATTCTTCTTCATAATTTCTAATCAACTGCGGTCAAAGAACTTATATCTTCAAATTATCCAGATAGAGCAAAAAGAACCACAATTGCTTTTTTAATTTTTTAACAACTGACATCGGGAAGCCGATATCTTCAGATATTCTTCATAGCAATTCTCGATCAACTAAGATCAGAGTCTCCAGTTAAAAGAAATGAACAAATCAAAAAGAATTTTGATCTAGTTAATAGTTTTGATTGCAACTTCAATTTAGCTCTCTGCTGCAATTAAATGTTTATCTCTATTTAGTTTTTACAGTCTTCTCGTAGAATGGCTTTCCAGCTAGAAGTTCCAGCTGATTTCTTTCTCATTACATCTCGCGCCCCCTACACTATGCTCGCTGTCTGCCACATGTTGTTGCAATCCCATGTTGTTGTTGATCGGCCAAACAGACATCGAGTCATTGCCTCTTCTTTAACGAAAATTAACAACAACAACAACAACAAGAGTAACAATCAAACTGGGTCAACTGTGGACCAATTTTCAACAAAAATTGCGACAACAGCCGTACGAGATTTAAAAAAAAAACCCAGAGAACTACAATAATAATGACAGAGCTAAGGAGGCAACAACAAAAGCGAAAATAAAACGTGCCACAAAATAAAATGAAAATAAAATGCATTCAAATTACAGGCTTTAAACAGAAAGAACTCTGCATGAACAGTGCATGCAAAAAGTGCATATACCCGTACTCGTACAGTCTCTGTGGCACGGCACTCTCTGTGCATTGCTTAAATCTCACACAATAATTGGAAATTTATGTTAAATGCAGATAATGAAGTTGGACTCGCCGGCCAATGACTACAAATATCTGAATCTGAATCAGATCTGAATTTGAATACAAATGCGAGTACGAATACGAATGCTGACTCTCTCAGCAATGCATTGTAATTTAATTTAGTTAATTTTTGCGCTAAATTGCATTTTCTTACGCCGCGAACTTCTTGCGGTTAAGTGTGAACATAATTGGACTGTGGCAGCCACAAAGGAGCCCCGGGGATGGCCGAGGGCTGGGGTGTTGGATGAAAGACCAAGCATTTAAGTGAAATCAAGGCAGCAATAATGAAGTCAGTGAGTCAGTCAGTCAATCAGTCAGTTGGGCAGTCTCACTGCCTTAGAATGACAATGAATTCAAATAAATAATTGAAGTTGCAACCAATTTGTTAACAAAAAGCAAACCATAGTTTGCAGCAATTATACTGGAAATACGTTTAATGTTTCACACGACAAAGGGCAAACAGTTTATTTGTTAACTGTTGAATGACTCAGGTAGGAAATGTAATCTTAAAGTGTTGAATGCAACGAAACAATGCAATTCTAATTTGAGGTGAATACGATAAAGATTTAAAGAGATTTTTCATACAAAAATTGCTGGTTTGTTTTCCTTCCCGACCATGAAATTATTTTAACAAACTGCTTGTAAAATGTAAATATTCAATACATGAATGAATTAGAAGCTTTGAAGCCCGTTTTCCCCCCTTTGGAGTTTGAATTTTCCAAAACCGCTTCTTATTGCTCACCTTTATGGTGAAAGGATACATGAGTCAAAATTTCAGCTTCCTTGGGCAATCATCAATCAGTCAGTCAGGACAAACTGTTTTATATATATATATAGAGATCATTAATTTAAATTATTTTTAGTTAAATCTAAAATCAATTAATTGTTTGTAAAAGCCAACAGACAAAAGTCTAGGCTGTGCTTATACAACCGACATACATCTTTAGAAGTCGATTTAAATTTAAATCTTCATGCTGGACTATCAGGCCATAAAGTTATATAAGCAAAGTGTAAAAAAAAAGTTTACCAATTCAGCTGTGCAACATCTGAGTGGCACACATCTGTGCCACAAATCAAACTTTTGAGCAAGAGACCCAGAACTCTACATTCTAAGCGAAAACAGAAACTGCCGGCAACAGCCGACCCAACCAACGTCTCTTAATGGATATCGATGTTCCCAAAAAATAAAAGAAATGAAAAAGAAACAGGCAAGCAATGCGATCACGATCAAGAGAGTGAATGGCTAAATACATACGTCCGTCCGATTCTGGCTCTGACCGATCGACAATGCGTGCCTTTCGATTCCAATCCAATTGGTTTGGATCAATTTTGAATGCGAGCGGTTAATGTGCGATTAAAGTTTGTTGAACTCGCATATGAGAGCAAGAACACAACAACAACAACAGCGGCTAAAGTAGCAATCCAAACAACAATAATAATAACAACAACAACAACTTATGGTGGCCGCAACGCATTCTTGGCATACAAATACAAACAAAACGCAAACATTGAATTTTGTATGCGCTATGCTCATCGTCTCTTCTTCTCCTTGTTTTGTTTTTGTGTGTAATTTTATTTATTTATTGTTGTTGTTATTGTTTTCTCCCCCCCCCCCCTCTCTCTCTCTCTCTCTCTCTCTCTCTCTCTGTGTGTGTGCGTTTTTATTTATTAGAGACGCCGCCCGGCAACAGGCAGCCGCCAAGTGGGGGAGCCGCTCGACGCCACCGCCCCACTAATGCCAACAAAAAATCACAGCTGAGTTTGTCCGTCCGGTCCAACAATGGGTCACATTTATGGAACCACATAATGCTTTTGACTGATGCTGTTGGGCTGCCCGTCCCGACCGCTAAACATTTTCAACAAACAAAGCTGGCAACGAGGCCGAAGCTTTTAAATGCGGTTTTCACTTTCAAAGCGTTTTGTAAACTGAAATACCCTTCTGCGGTATTACTAACAAACAATTTATGTTTGTACACACAAAGGACAAAAATAGAAACATGCTATGAATAGAAATGGAGGGAAACATTCAGAAATTTTTGTTTAAACGTTACTTTTCTGCATGTGCAAA